GTTCATTGTCTTCCAATCGAGTCGAGTTGACATTGGAAGCTTGCCACGCCCGGACTGTTACACCAACGCATTAGCATGTTAAAGCGATTTCATTGAGGAGCCTAGCTTTCTTAACTAGTTAACACTGTACTTCCTACTTGTGACGAATTAAACCGGTTTCACAGGTATTTTCAAAGTAGGAGGTACAGTGTTAACTAGTGTTAACAAAAACATTTATCATGCATAAAAAGTGGTTATTAACTATCTGAAACTGTTTTTTTAAGTCACACAATATCTAAGTCAGACAAGAATACAATCATTGTTTCTTATTTCCGATTTTCTTAAAAAGTAAAAAAAAATTAGGTGCCCAGCACTAACTCTGATATGGATGTGTGATATAAGCTAAGATATGGCAATTGTTGTCAAATTGCGCCCTGAATTTTATTCTTGCATTTACATGGGAAATTGTTTCAATGTGAAATATTTTAAGGTATTCCATTCAAAGAAAAAAACACACCCCAGATATTTGGGAAAAATGGGAAAATTTGGGATGCGGAACATGGTCATCTGAAGTTCCCTTTCACTGTACTTAGCACTACAAACTTGAGCAGAGATGTGAAAAAAACTCTGGATCTTGAGCATGGGCAAGTATTACAACAGCAGACCTACTGCAATGACAAGGTGCCACCAGAAAAAATAAAATTCTTAAGTAGGACTTTTTTCTCCTAATTAGGACTTCGTATCTCCTATGTTGGACTTTATAAAATCCTAATTGGGACTTTTTATTTCCTAGGTAGGATTTTTATAAACTCCTATGAGAACCTTAAAATGAACCTTGAAATATTTGCATTTATTTTGCCATAAACAGCATGGTGGTTTAGACATTATGGTTCTGGTGTTAATACTGCTGCAGAAAAAGCAAACTACCTGCAGAATGTAACTGCAAGGTATATTATCTGGATGGAAGGCCATAAAACAATGTGATCCCAAGGTTGCTACAGTAAAAAAAAAAGAAAACTGACAGTGTCGCTATTTGACAAAGCAACTTGAGCATAGAACTTTGCAGTCACCTGCCAATAACTTGGCATATCTTATTCTGATGTATGTACTCCCCTACTAATATATTTCAGTAATGCCCCTTACAACAGTTTCAAAATGGTCACTGACAAAAATCAGGGCAACCAACTAAATACGGCAATTACATCTCTCTTAAAGGGACATGCCATTTGAAATTTAACTAAGATCATAGTGCATGTGGGATACACTATACCAAGCCAAGTGCATGATATTTCATTGAAATGGTGATCTTACTATTGTTAGTAATTGTAGCAATTGTGTTTTTAAGCAAAATACTTTTGGAAAGTAATGAAAACATTTATGCTATATAGCAGTGTCCTGTTGTATGCTGTTGTTCTGTTTTGAAAATACTTTTAAAATATTTTGGGACAGTAACCTCTCATCACAACACCAAACATTTATGCTACTTAATGGCAAATAAATCCTTGATGAAGCCTGCTGTTCACAAGAGGAGTATCGCAAGTCCTAATTAGGAGAAAAAAGTCTTACATATGAGTTTCATTTTTTATTTTTTTTCTTTATAGCATAAAAAAAGCTTCTTTACAGAGCTAACAATCTTGGTTAAAGATTATTTACGTTAATGCATGTTTATTTTGTTACAGTAAAAAGCAGTGCTCACATTTCTTCTAGGACAAACCTCCGTAGTTTACATTAGATGTATGCTAAAAAAAAACCCTCCCTGCACCCTGTTTATTTTCTTTGATGTGTGAAGAAGCACAAATCAAAAAAGCACTAATTAATTTACCGCCAGATCATGGTGTCTTCACTGTTTTAGTGCTGAAATATTTGTACGTAATCCTGTTCTTCAAGTCTAAACTCTGTATGGAATCTGCAAATGAATATTTCTGCATAAGAATATGACCCTAACCCTAACTTGAAATCGTTTTTAAGTGTAAAGGTTTAAGGTTTTAAGTGTATAGGTCTGGTAAAGCATAACTCCAGTAGTTCAAGTAGGTAGCTGTGTCAGCATGTGTAGGCTGCAAAGGAGCAAGTTAAGGTTTATTCTTCTCTTTTCGGCATGGAATAAACCTTTACTTGACTCTTACTACAGACCTATCTCACTGACTTTTCATAAAAGTAACTTAAATTTTTATTATTAAAGTAAAATTTGTCCCAAATACATATTATCACAGTGTTATCCTTCAAAAGTGTAGAGGTGTAGATGGAATGCAGCAGTAATGATGGCACAGCCAAAACTGGAAAGTTTATTATTATGAGGAACTGTGTTCCCAAAGTCCACACCCAAAAAAACAAAGTGAAAAATACAAACTAACCAAGGGTAAAAAAACACAAAACTATAGTACAATAATATATACATTCATTGATTTAAAAAATAGATTGTTGTAGGCAGTTCCTATTCTACACTACCACCAACTTCCTCCTAATCTCTCTTCTCCTAGCTTGAGAATGTCCTTATCTAGGTTAAATTCCCCCCCTAGAATAGTTCACTATAAAGCAAAAAAGAATTCTACAAAATAATAATCAGAATTCTGATATACACCTTTCTCCAGTGAGTACACAATTAGACAATTATATTATTAACAAACATAAAACATCTTTACTCCTTTTATGGACACACATATTTTAAATGTAGTGCAGTCCTGCATCAGATTATTTGAAAAAATAAAAATGGCTACATGTGGTGCTGCCTGACAGCTTGCACATTTTAAATAGCTGCATCTATATTAGTATTATCCTAATAGGTTTCACTGCCATATTCTTGGTGTTCATCTCTGAAAAACACAGATAAAAGGATTTCCCTACATTGTTCTGTATTAATGCAGCAAAACGATGTCTACTCCACTAGGTATCATTAAGTGTTTAAACAGACCCTAGAGTTAATGGTCTTTACAGAAATACCTTGACTTTTGTTCCCATGAACAAAATATAAAGAAGCTTCCAAATGTGTATGAACAGAAAGCAAGAATGAAGAGTAAAACAGAGGCCTGGCGAAAAATGGTGGAGACTGCATTCTGCTTTATCACTACTCATCCACAGAAATTACTAAGTAAATTAATAACTTAATTCACTAACTCAAGAAGTTTTATGTGAGGTTTATATGGGATGTTTTTAAGGTCTAATTTAGTTGAGTCTTATGTAATCCAAGGTGTCAAGATTGTCAAGATATACACAAAAAAAAGAACACTATTGCTGATTTTATTCACTGTATTCTCCAGATCCATTAATATATTTGCCTTTCTGAACAGATAACTATCTGCTCTTTTGTACTATACCACTCACAAAGATGACAAAATGCCATGGCATCTCTAAACATCACACTCAGACATTTTCTTTGTTGTTATCTATATCAGCAGCCATATCACCCTGCAACTCACTGAAGCTAAGCAGGTGTGAGCCTGGTCAGTACCTGGATGAGAGACATCCTGGGAAAAACTAAGGTTGCTGCTGGAAGAGGTGTAAGTGGGGCCAGTAGGGGGTGCCCCCCCTGCAGTCTATGTGGGTCCTAATGCCCCAGTATAGTGACGGGGACACTATACTGTAAACAGGCGCCGTCCTTCGGATGAGATGTAAAACCGAGGTCCTGACTCTGTGGTCATTAAAAATCCCAGGGTGTTTCTTGAAAAGAGTGGGGGTGTAACCCCAGTGTCCTGGCCAAATTTCCCATTGGCCCTTACCAATCATGGCCTCCTAATAATCCCCATCTATGAATTGGCTTTATTACTCTCTGCTCTCCTCCCCACTGATAGCTGATGTGTGGTGAGCGTTCTGGCGCGCTATGGCTGCTGTCGCATCATCCAGGTGGATGCTGCACATTGGTGGTGGGGGAGGAGTCCCCATTACCTGTAAAGTGCTTTGAGTGGAGTGTCCAGAAAAGTGTTTCTAAAGTTTTTTAGCAGCAGGAAATCAGCTGATGTACAGTATCTTACACCTTCACTGTTTTTAAACTGATAGTTAACAACAAGCACCCCAACCTTAGGAAACAAGTCCAAAATAATTGTTTATTATGGTAAGAGAAACTCAACCTTTTCCCGTGGACTAAAGCTCCGGGGTCCTGCGATTTGGCCTCCAGTTCTTGTACTTCATCAACCAGCGTCTTAAAACAAGTTCTTTTCATTCTAAAACAAGTAAACAGTAAAATAATTGTTTGGTTAATCTGTAACAAACCTCAAATGCATATAACAAACCTTAATGCAATAAATAAAATATGTTTTCAGATATACAGCAACTGAAATGTTCCAGGAATCTTTGCAGTTATTATTATGTTAATGTAAAACCTTCACTATACTACACCTCTGTAACACTTATACAGTATATATACTTGAATTAGTGGGTATAAATATTAATTATCCACTCATACTGTAACACTACAATAGATGGAACTATGTCCCAAATAATGCTCTAATAATGGTGCATCAGTGGGACATATTATACATTTACAAAATACTGTATTTTATAATAAATTAATTTCGCACTTTACCTGATTCACTTCATTTTATTATTAGGAAATTCCAAAGTACTAGTTTTGTTTTTATAGCTTGATTAGCACTGATTAGTTCATATTTATGATGTCTTAATATCACAATCATATGTTTACCTAAGTGAGAGGTGCATTAAAAATCCTGGGCTAACATCACATATTGCCAAGATACATTGATAGTACACAGAAACCTCATGCATAGCACTTTCAGATAACACCCAAAAATTAGATGGGTTCTTTAACATTGTTTTTTGCATTTGCAAGAATTAAGTCTGAGTGGCACATAACGATTCACAAACAATAATGCTTTCACTTTGATTGGGATGTGGGATTATAAACATAGAGAACATAGAGGCTACAGATGAAAGGAGGCCATTGTTCCGATTCTCACAACACTTTGTGCATAAATGCATCTTTTGTAGAAACAGTGCTATTTGCTGTGACTTCAGGGTTTTCACATACTGTAGTGAACAGAATAACAATTTTCTCTTGCATGTCCTAAGCATGTCTGCGCCATTTTTGGAGGATGGTACTACTACTGCAGCTTCTACTATTAATAATAATATAATTGCACAAATAATTTATGTTTTTAACCAGACCTAAAATGGTGCTTTTCATTACTGGACACAAAAACATTTAGAATCATAGTAGGAACTCACACTTTGTATGTGACATCAAATAACAGAGACGTCACAGGGATAAAGAAAAGGCCCATCCAAAACACTCCAGAGGTAAACAGCATGTCAGCCTGTACAGAAAAAACCCCCACAAAATCATGTTTTATGTTCTGTGAATCAAATATACACAATTATAAATAATTATTAAAATTATTTATTGAATATCCTGATAGTACAAAGACTCCATATCTCCATCTGAAAAAGGATTACATCAATGAAGAGAAAGGAAATTGAAAAGTTAAAGATAAGGAGATATACATTTTATGTTTTTTTTTAAGAAAATGTATTATAGGGTTACATTCAGGCAAATTAGAAAACAAGATGAATTATTAGAAATTTCATACAAGTGCAAACGTACTGTGGCATAATATATTAAGATGTATATGACACAATATTGTCGTAACAAAGAGTATTTGGCAAAAAGAAAGAAGGTTAAAAAGAATCACCCTATGGTAACTGTTGGATGATTGAAGCATTCTGGGAATAACTGAAGCAAATTTACTTTTATCCAACAAACCAGATAAGGAAATGGCACTACAAGAAAAGCCTTATAATGTGCTACACATTTCTTCTGTTCAGTTGTCACAATTATAACATTTAAATCCCCCATTTGTGGCTGACAAATAATTTCTAGAATTTTAAATTTGGTATTTTATACCAAAAGTTAATATTGCAGTGTATGTGCAAATCCAACTTTAGATAATTGATAAAAATGTTTAAATTATATTTGATGTAAAAATAGATTAAGTTTGTAGACTTTTGAATGATTTATTAATTGCAACAATGATACAAACAACATTTCTGCTATTAAATATGGGAAGTACAATTAAAAGTAAATATATTTTCATCTATTCATTTTAAGTCTGCTTGTAAAATCTGAGGATCACAGAGGAAAAACCTACTTGTATTTAATACAAATGTAACATTATTTCTGATGTTTAAAGTCATGTGCTATACTATTTGTTTAGGCCAAATTAACTAAAACAATCTGCCATTGAATTTCTTAGAGCAAAATACACCCTGGATTCTAAATTACCTAATGATAAAACTATACAAGAAATAGTCTAGAAATAGAAATAGAAATCTCTATTACAGGTATTAAAATCAAAATGGATGAAAAACAATAATACCTAAATCTGTCATCTGTTTTCAAATAGCTTAAATTAAAAGCATAAAAGCAATAATAATAATAATAAAATATTGAATATGATGTTCTTAAAAATAAAAGTTACATTAATCATACAGTTATATAATTTAAAGTGTGATGTGTTAATTTTATTATTTTCCTTGATCATACTATTAAAATTTACAATACCACTTTTGTTCTATATTCTGCATTTAGTTTGATTCGAATTAGGAAAATATGAACAAAATGCTCACTAAGGTACAAAACATTACAAATCTCAGTCTTCACATATATTTTATAATGCTTCTCAGAGAGTATAACACCTATATGTATTTAAGGGTAGTTTTTTTACTTTCCTTCTTAAATAAAAATGAAACAAACTTCAGCTTTTTAAATGTTCAATTCTTATTTCTTATCATCAAAATAAAAACACTGTTGTTTTTATGATATAATTATAAATTACCATATAGTGTAGTGGATAACAAATTAAATTAAAATTTTATTGAAATAAATGTGTAAACATTTTAACAACCTAGATGCATTGGGGACCTGTGTTGTGGGAGGTCATACTATGAGGAAGGTTTCTTCTGTTCAGCTACAAAGGATGTTGTTGCAAAACTCTCTTCGTAACTATGAAAAATGTAACTATGAAAATGTATGCTTCAGTGGAGCACAAATCTATAAACCAGGTGTCATAAATGCTGGATTGGGTTTATTCTTTATGTGTAACAATTCTAAGAACACAGTAGCATTGATGATTTATGTTGTGGGAGGTCAGGATGACACTTTCCATTTGGCTATGAAAGACATGCCTTTTTGATGTAGTGAAAATCTCTTGGTTACTGTGAAAAACAGAAAAAATATCAAATGCACATTTTGTTACAGACAAAATTAATAAATACAGAGTTCAAAAAACGAAGAATGAGTGTATCATTGTAGGGATGAGCAGCTTGTGTAACATTGTTAAAAACTGTTTGGAGAAAGCTACTTTTTTTTACTAGCATACCAATAAATTATTACAGCTTAAGTTTATTTAAATAAAAAGTATTTAAATGGTAAACCATTTTAAGCAGTTTAAGATGGTTCAGTATTACCCTGTATAACAGGTTACTTCTTATATTTACCTTTTTATATACAGTTATCTAGCTGTATTCTGTTTACTCCATATGAAGAAGAAAAAATAAGTTTTAAAAAGAAAGGTTAATCATTTCCTATTGAAAGTTTTAGTCTATTAGTTAAAAATATGTATACATTAAAAAAACATTAGAAATAAAGATGCACAAATCTTACATAAGATTTCCTTTCTGTTGAACAAAAATTATCTTCTTGTAAGAAAATATCAAACAAGTATAGATGAAACAATTTACAGCAATTAGAAACCTATGCGCTGAACTCTGTTCATCATCCCTGAGTACTGAAATAGTACAAAAGTTATAATGTAGGTTCAGGAATGTTAATTCCAGCTATTGTGATGGTAAATATAACAGAGGACAATTGGGTCTTGCTATTCACTCCATCCCGGACTTTGGCTTTAGAAATGACCAACATGAATTGAGAAAAGCCAACTTTTTTCCTGTGTAATATTTGAAAGCCTGTCAGATTTTTTACTTTTTTCGTGAACCTAATCCAAACCTTAAAGATGTAAAGCTGACATTCGCAAAAAAGAAAGAGCCTCTTTGTGTAGCTTTTTTTGTATTAAGAAAAAATCAATTCCTAGCGAGCTATTTCCTTCTTTCTTTATAAGAAAGCTACCCCTCAGTTTGAAGAGCTCAGTTTTGTTTCTAACTTTTCACATCCCTCAATACACAAGGAAATCATCTGGGAAAGGCAAGGCAATCCGTCAGAGACAATGGCTATAACAGGGGAAGCCTGTTCTACAGACAGAGCCAGCCTGCCTCACTATGTGGTTTACAAACTGTCTCAAATGTGTGAGATCTGTGGTTTTTGCCAAGATCTCTCCCCCCTCCCTGGCTTCTCCTCTAGGCCTTGAGCAATCAAATGGATTTGGTTAAAAAAAGTGACTCCCAAGGGGATTCGTAAGAGATCAAAAAATCACTCAGATTCAATGCCCATTGCAGCGGAGGCCTTACAATACCCAAAGAGAAAATCCAAGTCATCAATGCAATAAGACATCTGTAAAGAATAATAATCTGCAAAACTACCACCTAATTTACCCTGCAAACCCAACTGTTTCTTTGGTCACCTGATCTAAATGTCTCATTACCATACCTACTCTCAATCTAAAGTTAGTGTTAGTAAGGATGATAAAAAGTTAAATCCCACCTTCATTATTAAAATAAAATACTCTGAGCAACAACATTACGAAAGATACATTTCCTTAAATGTTCAAACTCAGTTTATTGCAATGTTAATATAGTCATCATTTTTAAATATCTGCTTTTGTCATGTCATCTACTGCAACAAACTTTTAGCAAGATCTATTATTGCTTTCCTGTTCAGACCAACCAAAACGTCTATGGTACTGTACAAGTGTTACTTAGAAGCAAAGATGCTGACCAAATAAAAAGGCATAAGCAGTACTTGGGTAACAGATGTAAATATTTTTTTACAGATTTTTGACTTCCTGTTTAAAATTATGAATAAGATAAACACAAAAAGGTGAAGCATATATATATTTTCCTTGTCTTTTAAGTTCTGTTAAATATGATTACACATTTTATTCATAATAACCTGAGAAAAAATCAGTTGAAACGATACTTATTTCATTCACTGAAGGGAACTTAAATCCTTAAATTAAAAACAAATCTAAATTATAAATATATACTGTAAATTTATATATAAAGTATCCAAACTTGTAAATGAAGGCTGGACCCTTTTTTGAAATCCACACCCACTACTACAGCTGTTTTTGCCTATATTACAATGTTCTCAACTAAAAAAAGCTCACACAATTCTCATATTTCAAACCTTCCACTTTTGAAATTGTCTGGAGAGTTCTCAGTTATTATACTATAAGTCACACTTCAGCTTTTGTAACACTGTTTAGAAAATTGATGTTTTGTCTTTAGGTTAATTCTGTTTTTTATAATAGACTAATTGGCATATTAAACATCTATCATCTGAGGCAGAATTAACACCTAGCAAAACATAAAACATAGTTTACAGATGCAGCCATTCAAAGTGCGCGGTATACACACGTACCGGAGGTAATTGGCTATGGCGTAGCGCATTGTGACGCACGATGACGCACAGTACCCTTCAGTGGTAAAATTCCATATAAATATTCAATACTACAACGGGCACAGTAAAGATGTTTACTGTAAATCTTTCTACGACAGACCAACGGACCACGAGTGCCCCTGTCGGTCAACCAATCACAGCCCTGTCGCAGTACATGAATATAATTATATCTTATTAATTTCTTGAGATACGCGATTCTTTTAATAGAGTCTTTGCTGTGCTCTAGAGGATCCTTGTGATATTTCGAGCTCTGGTTGAATGATAAGTGTCACAGTTTAAATAATTTTCGTAGTTAGAAATTATGGAATGCTCTGTTAAAAGCAAGGGAGTTTTTATGTCCGTTGCAGTTTTTTTGCAACATTAATATAATTATATCGTTATTAATTTCTTGAGATACGCGATTCCATATTATATTCCCTTTTAATCAAATTCTAAAAGTATGCTTGTTGACTCCGGTATCACATTAGTTAAAGACTTCGATGCTTAAAATGTTTAGGGAGAAATGGAATACTGGTGTGTATGTTTTCTTTAAAGTACCGAGACCAGCCATATACTGTATGTTTAAGTTCCAAAATTAATATCGTTTATGGCCTTCACATGCGTTGCAGTATGCTCCTATTCTTTTTATGTTCAGGCACTAAGATTTCCCTTCAGTGGTAAAATTCCATATAAATATTCAATACTTAAACGGGCACAGTTAAGACATTAAATATACATATACATACTGTATACAGTACAGTTTGCATACGGTAATATGTTTCCATTCCAGACTCCATTCCAGCCACATTTCATACACTTTTCATCATCCACATACACAAACTCTCTTCTGGTGACCTCATTCACACCTGACACAATGCTTTTTTTTCCCTTGTGCCTCAGCTGCCCTTCCTAAATAGCCTTGCTGAATCTCTGTCGAATACACACACTCAAAACATCCCCATAGCTGCTGACGTTTTCTCTTTTTCACTTCCGGCCAGCATACATTCAATACTCCCACAGCTGCCAGTTCACTTGTATGCTCAGCCAGCTTGCATCATAAGCTGTCTGAGAACATAGTGCAGAGTCCTCATGATCCAAGAGAGTCAATAATTCACTCTTTGCAGCTTGAGAGAGTCAAGCAGTCCCTCTAGAGAAGTCAGAGAGTACATATACACTGAACAGCTCCTCACTGTAGCTCACCAAGTCCTCAATTCTCTAGAGCAGTGGCTTCATAAACCAATACCAACTGACAGCCTGTCACAGCCAGTATTATATAACAGTTCTTTGCCTAATTAATGAAAAATAAATTTGCAGATTTCTATTGTATAAGCAAACTGTGCAGAATTTCTATGCAGAGACTAATGTGACATTAATCACCTATGAATATAACTGCTGACATAACATTTTAAAACAAAATATTCAAAACCAAAGCTGATTATTTCAGCTAACAGAACAGCTTAAAATTTAGTGTATTTAGTATATATAAACAGTAAAATTTAAAACATGTTTTTTATACTAAAGGACCATTTTCTCTTCCCATTATAATGTGGGTCAAAAACAGTTACAGTGTCTTCATAAAGTATTCTGAAGAAAAGTCTCACCTGTATTTTTTCACAATTTGGTATTGTGCGAACTCAAATAGAAACAGTAATATGAATTTTTTGTCACTGATCTACTTTAACGTTGCTGTATAATTTCAAAGTGGTCCAAAAGTTCTAAAAGTTTTTCCATGTAATTTAAAGACAAAAACACTGAAATATCACAATTTAATAAGTATTTACCCACTTTGCAGACATGATTTGAGATATACAACCGAATAAAAAGTTTAACTTTAGTTTAAACTCTAGAGTTTGGAAAGTTCCAAGAAACACAGTCAAGTCCATCATGAGGAAGTGATAAGACTATGTAACCACCCAGACTAAAGTAGGCTCTCTTCTCAAACTGATCAACTGGACAAGAGGGACCTTGGTTATAGAAGTGACCAAGAACCCAATGACCACCCTGGCATAACTAGAGTCCCATGTCTGAAATGGGAAAACCTGTCCATTAGACAACAATCTCTGCAGCAGGTTTATCCTTTGACCTGAATGCAAAGCACTATGCCTAGCACAAAATAAACACAGCTCATTACCCATGTAACACTATCATCACCATGAAGCAGCATAATAGTATGGGGATGCTTATCATTGGCAGCGACTGTGGCACTTGTCAGGATGACACAAATGACTTCAGAATAAGAAGGTGAATGTTCACGAATGACCTAGCCTAAGCTGACGAGTATCCAACTCAAAATCTGTGGAAGCACTTAAATACTACGGTTCACCAAAACTCACCATTCAACTAGACAGAGTGTGAGCAAATCTTAAAAGAAGGATTGGCAAATATCCTCAAAATCAGATGTCCACAATTGATACAAGTGTACCCAAAAAGAATGCAAAAGGTGCTACTATGAAGTACCGACTCAGGGAGGTGAATACGTCCGTTAAAAAAATATACTTCCATTTTTAATTTTTATAAATTTTTGTAACTCAACAAAAATATTTTTACCTTTTTAAATTGTTACATACAGACGCAGTCATTCAAAATGCACAGTACAAACCCGAACCGCAGGCACCTACGTGTGCGCCACCGCGCCCTACGCGGTATGTGATTGGCTGGCCAAAATGACCGACAGGGGCACTCGTGGTGCATTGGTCAGTAGTGAAAAGATTGAATCATTTAATCTCTTTACTGTGTACATTTTAATCAGCTTAGTATTGAATATTTATATGGAATTTTACCACTAAAAGGAAATTTTAGTAGCTAAACATAAAAAGAATAGGAGCATAACGCATCTGAAGGTCATAAACGATATTCATTTAGGAACATAAACATATTATGTAAACTGTATATTGCTGGTCTTGGAATTTTAAAGAAAAAATACACACCAGTATTCTATTTCTCCCTAAACATTTTGAGCATCAAAGTCTTACATGTGGTTATTTCGGAAACGTTTTTACGTGCTCCTCACTCCTTCTGACCATGTTACTGTACATTTATACAGTATACAGTACTTTGTGAGAAAAGTGATAGTTTTAAGCTTTTCTGCTAATACGCTTGATACCGGAGTAAACAGAAGCATACTTTTAGAATTTGATTAATAGGGAATATAATATGGAATCGCGTATCTAAAGAAATTAATAACGGTATAACTATATTCATGTACTGTTGCACAAACAGTAGTATAAGACTTTCCATTGATAAGTGTTTGTCACATGACTGCCTCGGTGGGGTGATAGCTTAAGTAACTGACTTATAACCCACCTGGATGATGCGATTTTTATCTCTAGTCAATATATGGAGGCTGATTTTTTCACAGTTTAAGAATTAAGTGATCAATCTGACAATACTTTTACAATACCTTGTAAAAGTTTTAACTCCTCTCCAATTCTGCATGCTCGTTTTTTAAAATACAAATGTTGAAATATAAATGATGAATACACAACTTAAATTTTAAATCATTTATGTATAACTTGTGATGCTGCTGGGGGTGCAGTCATCATATGGGACTTTTAGAAGGCGGGTCTTGAGACCCAAAGTAGTGTTATAATTTACAGCACTTTTATTTAAGTTTGCAATTAAACAAGAAAAGAGCAACAAAAAGTAAATAAGCAGAGAGTATAACTCAACAGCTTAACTCATGGATGGAGGTTCTACAGTACTTCATTTTGTCTTCTAACTAAATATTGGGTGTAGCCATCTGCCCCCAATATGCAAAAGAATCTATATTGCCATAATGTGATGAAGAAATGGAAAAATAAATATAATTCTTTACTGGAAATCTGCAAATCTGACTTTAAGTGTCATCTGATTTCCTTGTATTTCTTGAGTGTCTCCCTCACTTGAGTTTTTATTCTGTACTCTTTTCTCAACTTTCTGTTTCACTTTACAGGCTGTCCTTTAAGTATAGTATTCAGCTTATTTCACTTTCTCTGTTCTTTTCATCATCGGTCAGCAACACAGACTCCAGAAAATGGATAAGCAACTGACATATCCTTTTTGCGTTATAGGCAACTCTCTCGGCACCTCTTTTCATTTCATAAACAAATGTTTTATTTTCTCACAAACCAGCGTATCATTGGTTCAGGCTTCTATTTCAGTATATAGTGTATTCTTCTTGTCTGAACTTGTTCATCACTTTTGGTGTTGATTTATATTGTCTGCAAAAAGACATGTCTAGTTCCAGAAATGACATCAGACACCAAATTATATTCCGGTTTCTGTCCGTGGCCATCTTAGCGTGGTGAAAGACTTTTAAAAAATCCATTACCCGCTTGGGGAAGAAATGTCCATCAAATCTCAGGTCCTTAGGGACATCTCAATCTTTATCCCTGAGTTGTTGTGAAAGCTCCTTTGTGGTTGAAATCTACTGCCCAACTGATGGTGTGATTTGTCAAAGTGATTTTGTGTACCTGAACTAATTAAAGCTTGCCCTAGCAATGGGGTGAATTCTCTTGCAAACAAAATATTTTCAGTGTAAACATTCAAGTTTTTGTATGAAATATTCACTTTAAAAAAGTATATACTGTACATCACTATATGCTTAGGTTTCTTCTGTCAGCTGACATAATAAGCTGTTAAATGGCATAAGTAAAATATTATGAAAACAAAGACTTCCAAGCAAATACTACCCACTTACTCTTTTACTTGAACTTGAAGTATAAGAACATCATATGCTATGGAAATATTAGAATTATACTAAGGCTAGGCTAGAAAAATTATAATTATACTAGGCTTGAAACTCAAACATTTGTAAATAGTAGGAGTTAGTGTTATAGATTGCATAACAAAAGAGTCATGGTGTTCCAGTGGCCATCTTGATTTATACAATTCCCCATAGTCTAATATAGCCATTGTGTTGGTACTTGTTTCATATCTATAAAGTTCAGGATTAACTGTTCAAACAGATTTGGATGAACAGATGTTACAGGGAACATTTATCAAGTACGTGCTAATCCACAAAAATTCAGACCACGTAGAGGAAGTTTTAATTTTGAAAATAGAACAGCAGTTCTCCCACCATTGTACTTAGAGGAACATAAGTAAACTGTGTTGTCACTAGAATGGTTCTAATCATAATTGTAATTGGCCAAAATTAAACGGGAACAGGCTGCATTTTGCCAAGCAGTTGATGCCCTTTTGTGTGCAAGAAATTATGACACGAACAAGTGCAACTCACAAATCCAATGGTTTGACTGCCCCACTTTAAATTAGACAGTATAACACCAGTAGTAAAAAAAAAGTGTTTGCAATATCCAGGAGGTTCTAGTCTCCTGTCTGGAAGTTTAACAATCTTTCAATTAAAATAGGTTCCTAGTCATGGCCTGCAAATGGGACAAAATAGCTGTAAGAAACTCCAGTACCTCTCCAGATATGTCTGGTGCCAGAGGGATCACAGGCCACAGAGAGGAGTAAATCCCAAAGAAAACCACCCACATGCCGATACTTCCCCAGATGGCTATGTGGCTAAACTGTGGAAAAAAAACAGCAGAAAAATTAACTATAAAACTAAGTACTTTGTGTAGCTTCTTTATTATTATTAATAACAATAACAACAACAATAATAACAGTAATAATTCTTAGTTTTCAGAATACATTTATATTTACTTTAAATGTTTTTTTAAATAAAATACATGATTTAAAATGTTATAGTTAGAAGTAATGTATGATACTCTATTAATACCTATTGAAAAAACTTTTATTGGTATGTTCAACAGCTGGCAAAAAAGACGCAAGACACATCAATTTATAAACTGAAATGTGAATGTGAGTTAAACAGGTTATGCAATTACATATATGGGCCACTTGTACACTGTACAGAGGAGCAGATGAGGCAAAATTCTCAGCAGCTAAGAGGTTAATTGAAAAACATTTAATCTTAAGTTAGCAGAGGGTTTTTAAATGAGAAACATAACTGGACAAAGTTAAGGTTACCAGGGGTGCTGCCAAAGTAAAAAAAATGTGGAACACTTTATATTATACTTTTATTTGCTGAGAATTTCTTAGTAATGGATGATTTCTGTACCTACCCTTGTCCATGATGATGTCTCAAGCCCAGCTTTTAGACAAACTGTGATGACCACAAACTGTGAAAATATTAATAAAAATAATAAACTCAAACTTCACCATGTTTTTCTTTTCATCCATCTATTTTCTAACCGTTTCTTCCAATTCAGACTTGCGGAGGAGCCAGAGCCTATCCCAGCAAGCAAAGGTCTTATGACATGGTATACCCTGGAGAAGATGCCAGTGCACTGTATGGCTTACACAGACACAGACATACACAAACTCATATTAAGGCCAGTTTTCCCAGAAACCAGTTTTATCAGTATGTCTCCGGACTCCGGGAGAAGAGCGGAGGACCCGGTGGAAACCCACAAGGACACTAGGAGAACACACAGTCCCCAAGATAATACTCTGGGTCTGGAATTGAACCCAGGGGCCCCAGCACTGTGAGCCAGCAATGCTAACAATGTACCACCATGCCACCTGCCTCTTTTCATTAACCCAAAAAATATCTAGAATAGAAGTGATCTTCAATATACTTCCATGATACATAAACATCAGTAATCTATTACAATTCTTAAATACTGGGAAAATCTGGGAAAACTGGTGTATATCCAATATTTATATGCTGCATGTGGATTTATTTGCTGCATTGGTATTAGAAAACAGTAGGAATATTTCATGCTGGTCTTGTTTGTACTTTCCATAATGTAAGAACTATCATGTCCAACTTGAACTACTATCCATCATTTGGAATCTTAGATATTTCACATTTTTCTACTCTTTTCAACGTTTTTCTCTTTTTATGCAAAATCACAATTTTATATCATTTTTCTGAAATGTTATGGAAAAACACCCATTTTGTATTGAGATAATAGTTAACCCTGAAAGATCTGAAATTACAGTACAAAGGTAGCCTTATAGTTTTATGGAAGTGTACAGAGGATCAAATTATATTAATGATGAGCAACATCTGAAAATTAGACAAATAAATCTGATTGGTAAATGTGATCAATTAGCTACATCATAATTGCCTTACTTTGAACTGTTATGATCAAGATTTTGAAGTTTCTGATCAATGTGAAATAAAGATTGCTAAGTGACAAGCTTGATTTCTCCTCATCCAAACTAAGTCGAGGCAAAACTGATATAATAGTACAAAACCCAAGTGAAGGCATCCCAAGTGAGTAAATTGTTGATAGCATATACAGGTGCTATCAAAATATTCACCCCATTGGACTTTACATTTTATTGTGTTACAATATACAGTGTAGTCCATAAGTATTTGGTCCCCTAAAATGGGAGGACTATTTATAAAAAGGGTTGTGATTCCTATATGGTTCACCCAATATAGATGTAAATACCCTTGAATTACAACTGACAATTGGATTTGAAGTCATTGTTTCAATTCAAATCCAATGTGCTGGAGTACAGAGCCAAAACAACAAAATATGTGTCATTGTCCAAATACTTACGGACTGCACTGTAGAATCATAATGTACTTAACTAGGAGTTTTTACTATTGATTGACAGGAAACACTCTTGTGAAAACAAAATTCTAGAGATCCTCCTTAACTAATTCTAAATATAAAATGGAAAATAACTGATTGCATAGGTATTCACCCCCTTTGAATCAATATTTGGTAGAGGTATGGCTGGCAGAAAATTATGCCATAAGTCTTCTTGGTTAAGTATTGCACATTTGGTTACTAAACATTTTGCCCATTTTTGTTTGTAAAATTGCTCAAACTCTCTCAGGTTACATGGAAACTGTTGGAGAACAGCAATTTTCAACTCCTGCCAAGTAAGATTTGTGTTTTGACTGGGCTACTCCAGAACACTGACTTTTTTTGTTAAACCACTCCAGTGAGGCTTCGGCTATATGTTTTGGGTCACCGTCCTACTGGAAGTTGAATCTTCTCACAAGTTCCATGTTTCTTGCAGACTGCAGCAGGTGTACCTTCAGGATTTCTGTGTTCCTTGCTGCATTCAGGCTCCGATGGAGCACAGTTTTACTATAGCATGATAATGCCACCACCATGCAGTAGGGATGGTGTGCTCAGGATGATGTTCACTGTTATACTTGTGCCAAACATAGTGCTTACCGTTGAAGTCAAATAGGTCATTTTTGGTTTCATTAGACCATAGAATCTTCTTCCACTTTGTCTCAAAGGGCATTTAGATCTTTATAATTTAGTTTTTACTTTCACATTATAGAGTGTTTTGCGTCAATCAATGGCATATACTGTAAATACATTTTGATTCTTTATTGTAATACAGTAAAACACTAAAATGTGAATATTTTTGATAGCCATTGTATATATGTACTGCCATTACTGATTGTCTAAGACTTTTGCACAGCAATGTATAATATAAATTTAAATCAACCACAAGTTATGTTAGTGGAATCCACATACTTGTGTACAGTATATAGAGGACTAAAAGTATAAATAGAACTGGAATTGTGTTTTTGCTAAAGTGAAGCAAACCAATGTCAATACAGTCACTTCCCATTGCCTTTCATCTGAGCCGATGCATCTTAACAATGGCAAAACATATCAAAATATACAAGTTAGTCTGACTTCAAGTATCTATTCAGTTTGAGATATTACACAATGGATAGTTTAAATAGTTATTGCTACATATAATTACATAGTTATACTTAATTGTGAAGCATACAACTCTTACTTACAAATGAAGGAACCTGTTCTAGCTGTTTCTTGCTCTTTTTCTTACTTTATATTGGGTAAACAATACAATCTACAGATTCATTTATATTTTGATTTCTCAAATTTCTGTTAAAGGTTCACCAACATTACTATTGAGAGCAAAATACATTAAACCATAATTACATTTTATAGACTACTAAAACAACACTGTCCTGAAAGAAATAATACAAAGGTGATATACTGCATATTTACTGCACCTTTCTCAAATTTAGAGGAAAATGTCCTCATAATCATAGATATGGTTATTAATTGGATACAAAAACTAAAATCAGCTTCATTTCAGCTGTGAATAATCTGACATTGTAAAAATATACCATTGTAATTCATTGTTATTTGTGATTTCATATTTTATGTGATCAGAATCTCTCATAATCGGCAAACAGTGTTAATGCTGCAGTTCGGAGGGCTCTGAATTTGTTCATAGCAACCACTGGATGTGGTTGAAATATATGAATCTCAGGGCTTAATTGTAATGTTTGCAGTGGCCTTAACTCAGTTACTGTAACTCAGTAGACTATGTAATCATTTGACTGAAGCCCAAAAAAGGGTAGGCATGCAATACTATGCCTTCCACTCTATTTCATTGAATGTCTTTTGTTCTGTTACTTTACAAAATAACTGCTTTAAAATACTAAAATAATAATTGTCTGCAATTAGTGTAGCACTTTTAATCTCAGATGTTTCCAAAGCAGAATAGGAGGGGACCTACTTCTTCTAGCAGCATATCACCCTACTGACAACCCACTGAAGCTCAGCAGGTGTGAGCCTGGCAAGTACCTGGCTCACACCTGGGAGACCTCCTGGGAAAGCTAAGGTTGTTAAGTGGGGCCAGTAGGGGGCGCTCACCCTGCGGTCTGTGTGAGTCCTAATGCCCCAGTATAGTGAGGAGGGCACTATAATGTAAACACAAAGTTGCCATCCTACAGATGAGATGTAAAACCAAGGTCCTGACTGTGATCATTAAAAATCCCAGGGTGTTCCTTGAAAAGATTGGGGTCTTACCTTGGCATCCTGGCCAAATTTCCCCATCTCCTAATAATCCCCATCTATTAATTGGCCTCATCACTCTGTTCTCCTCCCCTCTGTGTGTGCTATGGCTGCTGTTGCATCATCCAGGTGGATGTTGCAAATTGGTGGTGGTGGAGGGGATTCCCCATTTCCTGTAAATCACTTTGAGTGGAGTGTCCAAAAAAGAGCTATATAAGTGTAAGGAATTATTAACAATTATCTACGCTAAAGTGCTGAACCCAGCTAGATGATGTGACATCTTATCAGGAAGAGAAGTGAGAACTTAAGGGGAAAATTTAAGAGAGACATATTGTGGAATTTAGCCAGGACACATGGGGTTGAAACCTCTGCTCTACAAACTGTCCCTGGGGACTTTTAATAACCTCTTGCAGCACAATTTCTCCACTCACTGTACTGGGACATTCCTTTGGAAATTCTGGTTCAAAGGGAAGAGCATTATCTATTGTTTCAATTACACCACTTACACAAGCAACCCTTTTCTTTTGGGGTCTCCTATCACAGTACTGACTAAAATCAAGCTAAAAGGTGGTAACACTGCTTTTTATAAACATATATTAGAGTGTAACATCAGTAGTTCATGCCTGAGGTAAATATGAGCTTAAATTTCCAAAATTATGAAAAACAGCAGCTCTTGGTTTCACTTTAATAATTAAAAAATAAATTAATCACATACTGTTGAAACAGGATATATATGACATCAAAAACAAACAAAAACTTACTGTATAAACCATGTTTCCTAAAAGCAGGTAGTCCGTAGTTTTTCCATTTCCAAACACGGTATCTACAAAGTGAATCAAAAATAAGCTTTATGCTGTTAATTTGTTGTGACCAAAAACTGATAGAAAGAAAAAAAGTACTTGTGTTGTTTGGTAACTTTTGAATTATTTTTAAGAAGAATATTTTGTCTATTGGAAAGACCTAAAACTCCTACAGTGTTGTAGACTTTATTTAAATAACTTCCAGTTCTCTAATTGGGGTGTATTATAACGTTTACGTACACAAAATGTAAAACACCAAAACTATGTGAAGATGCGCCAGCATTTTGCTACAATTAATTTTATAAAACCATCTTTTGAACTGTGTTTTTCAAAAGCAAATAACATTATACTGCTATATGCTTTAAAATATTAATCCAATCAAAAATTGATGTAATAAATGTTTAATATGAAAATTAGAACTAAATAAGACAATCAAAAGTGAGTTTTTCTGTTTTGTCTATAGAATGCTACATGTCTGTGTGTTCCATTAAACCCTCAGACTATTCAAGTTCATGACATCATTTTGCAAAATGTTTGTTGTTTGTATTGTACAATAAGCTTTGTTTTGGTAAACATAAGCTATGTACATTTTAACATTCTTTTCAAACACATGAGCTTCGTGCAGTGATTTATTTAGATAAGGTGTTAGTTTTCTAGAATCATCAGTCTCTTGTTGCTTACCATGCTGGTAAGCTTTCAGTGGAAACCAAAACAGAATAACTGAGTGGAAGAGGCCATTCAGACAATGAGCCCAGAAAACCTAGAGGAAAACAAAAATCCATGAGAACCATTGTAGATGAACCAACTCAGTGAACTCTGACCCAACTCTTTATTTGTGCTTAAGATTCACTAAGTGAGTTTTTGTCAATCCACCACAGTGGATTTTTTTTTTTTACAGACAGGCACTTTGTCTCCGTTAGCTCAACTGGATGGGTGTAAGGGGAACATTTTTGAAAATTTACTTAAATTTCAGGAGCCTGCAAACCAATAGCAAAAACAAATCAATTACAACAGCACATTAAAATTCTTATACAGTAAAGCTCCACTCATATACAACGTGTAGCAAAAAGCAATACAAGAAATAACATACACAACTTACATGGTAGGTCTTTAAGAAACCATTCAAAGTTTAATTTTAATTTATTAAAATAACTGATTTTATATTCATATTAAATCTCCAACACTATGTGTTTGAGATTAAGATTTTAAATCTCTTTTAAAACAGCTATCTGTGAAGTAAGATTTGTATGTAATACACACTGTAATCTCTTTAAAAAAAACATACAAATTACCTTCAACTTAATTTATGTTAACTTTAATTTTAATTATATCTTAAATATGTAGAAATATGTATAGCACTGTTATTGCTTCATTTTATCCTGTGTATTTGTTTTTGTACTAAATATCTTAAAAGACTGTTTCCTGTGTGTTATTTCAGTAAAATGTTTTTTTGGTGGCCCTGAGGATGCAGTGCTATTAAGTTCAGAATGGCTTGGATAACTAGCTAACCTTTCTCCTTTGGTGATCTTCTTCACTTCATCTGACAGAAACCACAGGTGGGCGTTGTGGGGGGGGGGCAATGAGAAAGGACCATCTCAAACATTTCTTATTCCATTCACTTTCTGTCACGCTTTTTATACATAGACTCCTTGGCATGACCTCATCACCTTTGTTCTCTAACCATAACAATCCCGGGTGACATCGGCAGCAGCAGGGCAGCTATTCTCACAATACCCTTCCATGCTGAGAACACAGACTACACCCTAATATTGCGTCTTCCCTGGGATCTTGTGTGATGAATTTAGGTACAATTAGAACTTTAACCTAGTCAGCCTAATCCACATGAAATCACATTACAGGATGTTAAACCCTCCTAAAGCTGCAACACGACACAGAAACAAACAAAATATCATTAGAAGAGTGAAGGAAAGATTTCTGAAATTTGAATTCTTGAAAGGCAGTCCTTTCAAAGCTGGACCGTATAAAAATGCTAATAAACCAAATAAATGCTCAAAAACGCTGAGAATTTTTAAAATAAAATTGTGTTTAAGAGACACTAACATTATTACTTTTGTAGCATTATTTCACATTATATGTCTACATTCAAACTACAGAGAATTTGTTGCAGTAATTGAATATTGAGAAAATTATAGTAGGATCTGCACAACTACTCAGAAGTGGCCTAGAAAAAGCACTGCCCTTAGCTTTGGTGGTTCAAAGATTGGAATGTCAGGGATCTAAGCCAGCCTTATAAAGTAAACAGGCTCAATTTCTTGTTAAAACAAAATCAACATTTTTCACAGCTGCACATTAATGAATAATGGTGTTGTGCCCCACCCCCTACAAACTTTATGGTAGTTCTTATTGTTCTCTGACCCCCTTCTCCACAGGGGTCAGTAATCCATTTCCACATGACACTGGGAGAACATGAGTCTTGAAGACCACTAAACTACAGGAACAAATCATTCTTGGCAACAGCAGACAGCTTTATTAATAGCAGGGAAAAGCTAACAACCTCTCATCAAGAGAAATTCTGCCTGCTTGATCACAGCTCTGAAATTTTCATTTGGACATAAGAATCCCATGTGTCCATCAAAAATTTCATCATTATGCATACTCCTTCTTAATTAACTTTTAAGCTTTGGATATAGATACTATTAAGATGAATAAAGGAACATGTTAAATATGCTTTGATTACTATAGTAATCTGTAAATTAAGCATGGGTAAAAAAACACTTTTTTCACACAATATTACAGTCTTAAGTAGCATTGAGAATGATTTTTAAACGTAAATGCACTAAAAACATATTAGGGGAATGCAGCAGTTCATACAATACTGTTTCAGCATCCATATGTAGTCACCAAAACAAATATAATATCTCAAGGTCTGAGGTTTGCATTCCAGTGAAATTGTTCTGCTGAACGTACAATGATTGCGTATTATCTTTGGATCTCCACCAAAGGTAATAATAATAAGAGCAAGAATACACAGAAATCACCTTAGTATTGAAGCCCATTGCATTCTGAGACGTCTTGTACAATTCGGGGTACTTGAGCATATTTTCTTTACGGCAAGACCTCTCAAATATTCCAAGAGTTAGGGGAGGGAGAGCAGTAAAAATCTGAAAAGAATAATATATATAACTATACATCACTGCATATACAATTCCTCACCAGCATCAAGACAGAAACATATGCATGGCCACAGGAGAAAAAAGGGTGAAAAAAAAGATTCTAAACAAAAAGAAAATTCAGAAAAGAGGTCAGTTAAATGAAACTGATATTTACAAATTATTTCCATCTATTGGCAGTAAATTAATTGTTATTGTGCTACTTATAAACAACAAAGACAAATAGTCATGTTCTGATCAACATGTCTATTGAAAAGAACAACAATGTAAAGCCCCTTAGAGTATCATTAAGTAAACAGCTTTATTGGAAGTGGAAAATAATCTTAAGGTTATTATAATGTTTCATGTTAGTTCAATTTTTATTCACTATTTATGAGTGAGCTCACTTATGTTGAATTTAATTTTTCTTTGTTAAAACCACGTATACCGTGTTGTGTGTGCAGTGCCAAATTAGGCATTTCTGTCCTCTAGCTGGTATTTTTGGTTGTAGCTGTATTAACAGTATACAACTGGTAACCACTATCAATGAGGAAAGAAAAGGAAACTCTAAAGGCAATATTCCAAGTTTCTTACTATTCAGCCTTAACCAAATCAAAGAATAATGAATACCATCCAGGTGGATGCTGCACATTGGTGGTGGTGGAGGGGAGTCCCCATTACCTGTAAAGCGCTTTGAGTGGTGTGTCCAGAAAAGCGCTATATAAGTGTAAGCAATTATTATAATTCTTATTATTATTACCGTGTTTACATACTGTACAAGTCAATAGTGGCCATTTCAGGTAGGGATATTTCTGTTCTGATTGACAGGGCCTGCTCGTGCTATGCCCCAGAGCTCTAGAATTCTATCCCCATGGATACCAGACACCTACCCTGAGTGCTTTCAAATCCAGACTCAAAATCTGCTTTTTCAGAATGGCTTTTATTTAATTGGAAACTCTTGTTTTTAATTGTACTAACTCTATTATTATCTCTATCTCTATCTTTGTAATTTTTGTCTAACTACTTTTAAAATACAGTTTCTTATTATAATATAAATGAATATTAACAGAAGTAACTTAATAATTTGTAACAAATACAGTCCTGTTAAACAGCACCATGCTAAACATTAAGCCAGCTTCAGTAAATGGACAGCAACATGCTATTCAAGTAAATATTTCACAGGTGCCAGCAGGCTTAACGTAAGCTACACATTAAGCCATTTTAATGCTTTTATGTCAAATAACCAACACATTAGTCCTATAAAAGCATAAGCCAGCTAAAATTATTTCAATGCTCTACTATTCACATCACAATATTCCAATGGAAAGTTGTTTGCAGATGAAAATGCATACATTTCTAGCCTTACCATATTTTACTTAATCTAACTTTTATATCAGTTCTACAATCTGGCTCATGTTTGGTCTTAGTGGCAGTATCTCTATCAAGGTTGAATAAATAAGACATTTAGTAATTTACAGTCTGTTTTCCCTCTCAAAACAAATAGATTATGACTGAGATAAGTAATTGACATGGGCCAAATTCCCATGTCAAATTTTCATAAGAGGAAGACAATACAATGCTCAAATTTAGCTCCTTTTTCCTTTAGAGTTTTTCTTCCTATAGTATTTGTATTACTCTAAAGCAGTATTTAAACTTACCACATTGTATAGTCCAATACACCACCTCTCAAAAAGAATTTGGCCTGAGAAACCATTTACAAAGGCAAACCAGATCTAAAATGAAAAAAGAAAATAACAATTTAGAAAAAAAACCCTTAGGAAGGTAAGGAAGAAACACAGAGCTTAGTTCTCAAACAATATGAAAACAATGGTGACAATTCTAAAGAGCTTACCTATGTGTCTAGCTTGTACCAATTTTTCATCTGCATGATTATTTGTATTATCCTAAATTTATGGATGGGTAATAATTACTCAAAAAAACATTAATACTATTTTTCTATTTTTATTTTTTTAACTATTGCATATCTAATTCTTTAAATTTTGGAAATGGGCCCTTAATCAAACCTCACCTAAGGCCGTGTTCCAGTATGTCCCAGTTCCATATTTCCTTGACTATATGTCTGCACTTTCATGAATACGTTGGCCTTACAACTTTTACAGCAATTTGTGAGATTTAGAGCAGTGGTCTTTAATTAATTCCTTGGGCCATTGTCTTGCACATTTTTCTTCTAACCCAACTTTTGCAATTGGGTTTTTTTCACGTTGGGTCCATCCATGGATAACTGGACAAGAGTTTTTAGTCCACCCTCTGTGAGCATGTTGTGCATCTTCTCCATATTGTCCCAAGCAGTTGCATACCCCATTAACTCATCAAAGTATGAAGTGACACTTCTCAAGCAGCAATTTAAAATAGGGAGCAATTCCGAAAGTGGTGAAATATGCAAATTTTGTTTAGCCACAAGAACATTTAGCTACGATTTCGCTGTCATGGAACATTGTTATAAACAGCTGCCCAGTGTTGGCACATGATTTGTACAAATAATATGAACCAATTACTTTCAGCGCCCTCAAAACTTTAGCAGAAAGTACATAATTGCTAAACACTGATATCTGATATCTGTGTTTGTAGCTGCAGATGAGTTGAAAAAGGTACATCCTAAGTTTTCCCTTATAATTTACATCTTGCACATCCTGGGTCTTCATCTTTTTGGATCCACAGATGTATTTTTCATCTGCTAACCAGAAGTCACTGAAAACATTTTAACATGGGCACTAGACTAGCTTACAGCTTACTGTAAAATCCCTATGAGAGGGTCTGACGCAACATTCTAATGTGTAATGTTAGCAACGGCAACGCCGCAGCCTCTTTTAAAAAGTTTGCTAACTTACGAACGAAATTACATCATAGAGCCATTATAATTTTGGTTCAATTAAAAACAAATCCATGACTTTTCCAAAACTTAATGGATATTTTATCATTTTTCAAAAGTTTTCCATAAGTTTTCCAGGATTTCCATGACTGTGGGAACCCTGGTCCCTGCTCTGATCTGCAAGGGCTTAGTTTTTCCCATTTCTAAATTTGTGTTTATAAAGAGTACTCACAATGTGCTTTTTTGGCCCTTCTCTGAACTCTGCATCAGACCAGACTTTGCTGAAGGGAATAACCCCCAAATTCCTTGCAGAGTGGTGAGGTTTCATTTTCTAACTTATCAATGTGAAGAGAAGTTGCCAAGGATAATAAATTATTTATGTGTTAGTAAAATTGATATTGTATGTAAAAACAATTTCATTGGGCTACTTTAGATTGATATTGTATGTATTCTAGGTAGAAAGTATTGACATAAAGCTTCTATTTCATCACCCCATTTTGACTGATAAATATTTGTTTACTTGTGGCGTATTTTGTATGTGGAAGGACAAAGTATTTAATATTACAGAGCTTTGAGGTTTTGCAAAGTTTACCTTATTTAAGCACTTGCTCCTCATCACAAAAGTGCAGACTTGGAGAAGGGTTTAGTGTGACATTTGGGACATGGCCTTACTCACCAGTAAAATGTTTTATCAAGTATGGTTTGAATTTCGTTGCAAACTTCCACACAATTAAAAACTCTTTTTAGCTTTACAGGCAAAAAAGTAGACATTAAATGACAAAAGATTATACCCTTTTATAATATTTTCAATTTAATTATTTAAAATTTACAGCAATTAGAAAACATTATTAAGGTATGAAGAATGAGTATTGATGCATACAGAGCTTTACAAAAGTACTCAGACCTTTCCTATGGTGTCCCATTATGTATAATTATAAAATGATACACACACATTTTTTAAATTCAATCTTATTCAAAACCTGAGTGCATTGTAAGGGTAAGCATGTAAGTAAAAAGGCATGTTACGAAGGCAAGCAAGTCTTTATGTAGCAAGTTTCAAGTCATTTTGGGTCTATCAGCTTTGCGTACTGACTAAGTGCAATTTATGCCAATCCTTCTTGGCAGATTTGTTCTAGCTCTCTCAGATTGTTGGGGGATTGCTTATGGACAGCAGTGTTCAAGTCATTCTACAGATTCTTAACAGATTTCAATTAAGGACCTTGACTGAGCCACTCTAGGGTCTTATTCATAAGCCACTTCACTGTAGCTTTTTCCTTGTGCTTTGGATCATTGTTCTGCTAAATGGTTTTGTCACAGTTTTAAGTCTTTAGCTGACAGAACAGGATATGCTCCAGTATTTTCCTGTACTTTGTTCTGTCCATTTTTTTTCAATCCTAACATATTTTTCAGTCCTGATAAGAAGCATCCCCATGGCATGTTACTGCTCCCACCATGCTTAACTATAGGGATTGTGTTGACTGGGTGATGGCGCTGTGTTGGTTTTGCACTCAGTGTAACACCAATTTTACATTTACATAACCTTTTGCATATGTTAGTAGTATCACTTAAATGTTTTGTTTTAAACTATATGTGGTATCTGAGATGGTTTGCCATGTATGGTTCAGCATACAGGCCAGCTTTGTGGAGTGACCTTAATATTGTTAACTCTTGAACATTTTCTACCATCTATGCTATTGAACTCTGTAGCTCTTTCAAATGACCTCAAGAGGTAAAAACAGAGAGGTGTTTTTATTCTGAACTCAGTAGAAATTGTATGGCTTATTAAAGTCAATTTTTTCACAAATTTATTTGGGTTTGCCAAAGAAAATGAATAGTTGAGCAACTGTGACTTTTTTATTTTTCTTTCATAATAATTACCTGTTCATATCTTACTGGTTTTTGCTTTGAATTTCTGAAGCAAGTTTATATTTAACAGATTTTAATTGTTCCTTCAAAGTGTCATGACTGCAAGCTAAAGCAACAAAGGGTCTGAATACTTTTAAATGAAGATAGACCTACTGTATATATATAAATACAGTTACAGGTATAGTCAAATAATCACGTGATATCCAAAACGTTTATATTAAAACTATTAAAACCAAAAAGCAGCAATCAAATCAGATTTTTGTTATTTAAATAATTTAATCATATTTTTTAAATATAATAAGTCAAATGTAGACATTGTATATTTGTAAAAAACATTTTAATGGAGATACAGTATTGTACACATTTATGTGTTCACTACTTGTATATAAAAATAAGAAATATAAATGTTTGGAAATGTACATAGTAAAACTTCATCTCCTTAAACATAAGAGGAATGTTGAAAGTGGTATCATAATTGATTAAATTTGTGTACATGAAAAAGTCAGACATATTTCAATTTTAGGCGTACAACAATTGGATTGTTATTATTCATTAAATGCTTATAGTTTGTTTTAAAAATGGTTTGAAATACAGTATACCTAACAAAATATTTTAGTAGTTTATAATATTATAGTAGTGTTAAAGAAAAAATCAAGAGAAAATATGCTGAACATGAGTAGTCAGATTGATAAAAAAACATGATTCCTACCTTCAAAAAATGTATTTCCTAATTTTAAAATGACAAATAAAATATATTGCCCTTTAGATTTTTCTTTTAAAAGCACAGCTTAGATCTTCTGACCTTCATACTGTATACAGTGCAGTGAAAAAGTATTTGCCCCCTTCTGGATTTCCTCTATTATTGCATATTAGTCACACTGGCTGCTTTCAGATCTTTTGACAAAATCTAGTATTAGATAAAGAACCTCATTGAACATATAACACTTTTTAATTATTATTTCATGTAATTAATAAAGTTATTCAACACCCATATCCCCTGTATGAAAAAGTAATTGGCCCCTTAATTACTGGTTGCACCACCTTTAGCTGCAATAACTGCAACCAAATGCTTCCTATAATTATTTCACATCGCTGTGGAGGCATTTTTGTCCTCTCTTCCTCACAAAACTAAACTGCTTTAATTCAGAAACATTGGTAGGTCTTCAACCATGAACTGCTCATTTCAGGTCCTGCCACAGCATCTCTATTGGGTTTAAGTCTGGACTGTGACTAGGCCACTCCAAAACTTTCACTTTGCTTCTTTTCAGCCATTCTGATGTGGACTTGCTTTGTGTTTTGGATCATTGTCTTGCTGCACGACCCAACTACGCTTCAGCTTCAGCTCACGGACGGATGACCGGACATTCTCCTTAAGAATTTTCTGATAGAGCAGAATTCATTGTTCCTTCAATTCTGCCAAGTTGTCCATGCAGCAACGTATCCCCACACCATCACACTACTACCACCATGTTTGACTGTTGGTCTGATGTTCTGAATGTGGAATGCTGTGTTTTCTTTCCGCTAGACATAATGGGGCCCATGTCATCCATAAAGTCCACTTTTGACTCATCTGTCCATAGAACATTCTCTCAAAAGGCTTGGGGATCATCCAGGTGCTTCTTGGTAAATAAGAAACAAGAATGTTAGTATGTTCTTCTTGGTTGGCAGTGGTTTCCGCCTTGCTACTCTCCCACAAAGCCCATTTTTGCCCCGTCTCTTTCTGATTGTGGAGTCATGAACACTGACCTTAGCTGAGGTTAGAGAAGCCTGCAGTTCTTTGTATATTTTTTAGGGTCCTTTTGACTTCTTGATTGATTTTACGCTGCGCCTTTGGAGAAATGTTGGCAGGCTGACCGCTCCTAGGAAGATTCACTACTGCTCCATTTGGAGATTATGGCTCTCACTGTGGTTCGGTGGAATCCCAGAGCCTTAGAAATGGCTTTGTAACCCTTTCAACACTGATATATATCAACAACTTTTTTTCTGATCTCTTCAGGAATTTACTTTGATCGTGGCATAATGTGCTTGTAGAACCTT